CTGAAAGAGGAGAGGGAGAGAGAGAGAGATGAGAACGAGAGAGAGAGAGAGAGAGAGCAAGAGAAAAATATTTATATAGGAATAGGGATTAGGGTTAAGGAGAAAATCAATATAAATAATTAATAACAATATTAATAATAATAACAATAATAAAAAATCAAATATTAATTTAAAGAGTTTTTTTACCGTAACAATTAAATTTATAATTAACAAAACTATTAAAACCCGATTTTTAAATCATAAAAAATTCTAGAAAATCGAAATAATATAAATACTCTTTTAAAAATAATAATTTTAATATTTCAAAATACTAAAAAATTATTTAAACTTGTATTAAAAATTCATGGTCATTACAGTCATCGATCAAACGTCGTAATGTGCTGAAGGTGGATTCTGAAGCTACCGTAAAAACCTGTACTGTTAGTAAGTCACGAACCTTGATGGAAAATATATGATATAAAACCGTTCCATATACTCTTTACCATTGCAAAATATTGAAACTATTATTTTGACTTTTAACTAAATATGCAGTTAAATATTGTTCAATTTTAGAAACTTTCATTGATGATCCAGATCCAAATCCACCAGTTAGTTGAGCTATAATTAATTCCCTATCAAAACTTTTACCTTTTCCCCGACTTGAACTCGTAGAAGCAGAAGCTATAGATTGCTGTGTACTTACACCATATCTAGCTGCATACTCATCATATAATCTTTGAAAATAAGCTCCAAGAGCATGATGATGAATAAGAGCAGTAATAGTTTGACCATCATTAATGTCTATTATCATGTTACCATACAAAAACTTTAACAAATTTTGAAGACCAACATCTTTCAAACATAGATCAATAAGAACCCCAAACAAAAAAATAATAGGAATATGCCTAAAGTACTTATTAAATTTACTTTCCTTTTAAAAAAACATATTTCCAAAATAATTATCCATACGATAATTATTAAAAAAAGTTTAAATATTTAAAACTTGTAAGCAGCTTGAATAATAGTAGGATAATAACAACCATAATAACATTATAACATCATAAAAAACTTATAGCATCTCTTTTACACTATATATAACTAATCATTCATCTTTAATTATTCCATACATACTACCAATGCTAGAACTGGAAGTATAGAAAGCAATAAAATCATTTATAATTTCTTTATACTCTATTGTTACGTTTAACATTACATATGTAGAATTCCACCTATGGTCAACATATTTCGGAATTAATCTGGGTTTTAAATTTTTTTCTTTTACACAATTTTTTCCAGCTTTTAAATCTTTGTTCAGAAGAAATATGAGCATAAGCTATTGTCCTAACCTTTTCTATCATGGATTAATTTTACTAAATACACTTTAAACAATTAAATTTAAAATATGACACATACATCTAATATGGAAAAATATCACAATGACATGACAATAGCAAAGATGATTTGATATGATCTGTAGCTATATTATTATTATTTGTATTATCTAGTGAAAGAGAAAATATTTTTTTGAAATTTTTAATTTTATAAGTTCTTCTATTATTAAATTTGCAATATTAATACCACTATATGAATCTTCAAATACAATAAAAGAAATAATTATTTTAAGCATTTGCTAATTATCATCAATCCAGTGTGTCATGATACATAAATAACTAGTTTGTGCTCTAGATGTCTAAATATCAGAAGTTAAAAAAATTTAGAGTTTAAATTTTGAAAATAAGAAATTATTTTTACTTGTTCCTCGTGATAATATTTCAAAATACCACGTTGATAAGATTGTCGAGAAAATTTTTAAATGCAGGATGAAAATCGTCTGTAATCATATCTTTAAATTCATCATATTCTACTAATTTAAAAGGAAGGTTTTTAAGAACAATAAACCTGATGACGCATTTTCTGACTTTAATTGCGTCATAGTTCCAACTACCGAGACTACCAGAGGATGATGATTGGGAGAGTAAAGATTATTGGATATCACCTTGAGGCATTGTCTGACCTCTGTTATGCTTTACTAAATGACGTTTGATGTGGTTGGTGCAACTTTTATGATGAGCTTGGAAAATATGGCTGCACAACACACATTTAGCTTTCTGGGTGAGAAGTCTACCATGTTGATCCCTGGTGACTTCTATCTTCTCGAAGAAGTACCACACATCAGATCTCAGCCTTTTAAGTGCCCTAGGTGCAAAATCATCGCCACTGGATTGGTGATCAACATCGGTAGGAGGAGTAACTGTAGCTCCTATAGTAGAATTATTAGGACTCATTTCAACATCAGGAGTTGAGATTTGCCCTTCATAATCGGAGGAGGAAGCCATTTGATTGAAGAATTAGAGAGTAAAAGCGAGAATAAGAAAGTATTAGAGAGAAGTAGACAAGTTTTGGATGAGAAAAATAATTAAAACCTCCCTCTATTTATGGAGTCAGCCCTTAGCCAAATAACCAAAATATCCTAAAAATTAGCCTTTTTTTGATCGTTCTTGGGGTTATTTTGGTCAAAAGCCAAAAAATGGCCATTATAGCCGTTCGGACCAAATCGGGCTCGGGCCCAGCGCCGCAACCGTGCGCCATTGTCGGGCGCGGGCTCGGGCCTCGGCCAGCAACGATCACATTCGTGACCGTTGTGGCCGGGCCGGGCTCGGGCCGACTCGGTCAGCCCGGCCAAAGGGTCACGAATGTGACCGTTGGACCACCGGGCCAGGACATTCCGGCCCGGCCTATTTTGCGCCGAGTCCGCGGGTCCGGATTTGGGGCCAGGCCCAGACTCGAGCTACCCCAGCCTGACCCTTTTGCTGGCCGGGCCAGATCGGGTGCAGTGCGAGCACCGATGCAAGATGACACGTGCCCGGATCGGAGCCCAGCTCGACGCAGATTTCCGACCATGCGGGCTTGGGCCCGGCCTGGGGTCTGATTCGGACACCGGGCCGGATGCCAAGCCTTGGGCCCAAATGGACACCCTTTGGTATATACCAAATTGGGGAATGAGTCCAACGTGGAGTGAAGTTATCAGCGTGAAGCTCGAAGACGTCACGAAATATTAAGACCTAATTAGTCCATTCATGATGGGCAGTCTTCTGGATATTATTGACCACTTTCCTATGTGCATGACTGTCGCTTTAGTCCAAAACCATGTTATAGAAGATAAATGGTGTCCGATACTGTCCACAAGAGCGATTATGATGTTTGGTTTGGCTACATATAATGAAAGACCATGTTGATGTTGGTAGTCGTGTTGCCACTTCATTGTTTCTAGTTTAAATCTATTTAATCAAGGGTCCATGGTTTACATAGATAATTGAATTATACTTACAAATGATGGAGGAGGCCATTGGAAATTTTTAAACCTAACTATGTTATAGGACAAGATTATAATCTTTTCCTTTTATTAAAAAAAGATGAGCAAAAAATATTTTTATTTTTATTTGCTTAGTCACATTTAAATATCCTACATTTCCCCTTCTTTGCTCTTAAACCTTCAATTATTTTCCGCAAACACTTTATATACGCTACAACTTTTAAACATTTGCACTTTAACACCCTTAGATATACAAACATGAGAATTTTCCTCCAAAACTTCTCACTCATATGCTAGTTTTGCAATATTTTAATTCTTAATATTTGTTAAATTTACTATTAAACCTATCAAATCCAATTTTAAATTAGAATAATGTAGACTTAAAATAGAATTATGGTAATTTTAACGGTAAAGTTAACGAAAGCTGTGATCTAAAAACTTCTAAAATTAGCATGTGAATATAATAGCAAAGTTATCGCGGGGAAATTCTGGTCGTTTGCATGACTATATACAAGTGCAAATTTTAACAATTTTGAAATATATAAGTACTAAAAAAATACGTATGGGTGAATGAGTGCAAAGTAGGGGAAACTAGAGGATGTTTTTCAGTGCAATTTTCATTTTTTTTAAAGTTCTGATGAAGGGTCTAAAGAAAATTTCCACTTCTGAAGTTAGAATTATGACGAAAAGAAAAGTTTCACTTCTGAAACTGGGGGGTGCTGCTCTGTACTTCCTGAACTCGACCTCCTACGTCCTATTTAAACACCACCGTTTAGAATTTGGGTTTTTGATAAAAACAGGGTACGGTTCTCTTCTCTTCCTTTTTATAGCCAAAGCCACCCTGTTCTCGCTCGCACCCATCCAATCCTCATTCCTTCTCCCTTTCTCTTTCTCTCTCCTCTTCTCCCATCATTCTCTCCCTCTCCTCCTCCTCCCTCCTTCATTTCCTCTCCCTCTCTTGGGTGGCCTCCAAAGGCTTGGGAGGCGAAGGTGAGATCCTTTCTCCTGTGATTTTGAGCTTCGTTTGCTCTAGAGATGGAATTATGTGGTGGGTTTGATCCTGTTCCTGGTTTGGAGTCCTCAATGGGTTTGGTTCCTCGGTGGGGTTCTCTTGGATCTTTGCTAGGAATGCGAGCTTTCGCTTGTTTGTTTATGTGTTTGATTTAGATTTTAATTTTTAATTTATGGGCATTTGTGGTAATTGAAATGTCGCCCATAAGATCATCCATCAATCAACAAACTCAGAAAAAAAAAATAATGATGTACAAAACACTGATCTCGTTCTCTCCTTCTCTGTACGCAGGAAAAGGGAGAGTTCAACCAAAATGGGGCCAACGCTATCATGTCCTGGTGGCAGCTTTGACTCCTTAGATGAGGGCCTTGATGCTCTCCTCAAATCTCTTAGCATAGGCAACGACTACGTAAAATCCTCCCTTAGATCAGTCAGTTTCAACGGCAGGGATTCTAGCAAGCTCATCATCACGGGATCTCTGAGCTTCGACAAGAGAGACAAGCAACCCTTCAACGTCGAGAACCAGAAGAGCTCAACTTCTCAGAAGGGGAACCGAAAGGTTACGAGGTTTGCTCCTTCGCCTGCAAAGATTATTGAAGCTGGCAGTGAAGATGAAGCTGCCCTCAAGTTGCAGAAGGTTTACAGGAGCTTTCGGACGAGGAGACAGCTTGCTGATTGTGCTGTTCTTGTTGAGCAAAGATGCAAGAGTGGAAGAAGTCCATTGTTGTTGCAGGCAGAACCCCCTGAAAATGGGTCGAAAAGCTTTCAGTCGGGGGGTCTGTCTGCAGCGACGGGACTACAAGGATAGTAAGTTCAACTTGGCGATAGGACGGGGAAACTATCCGCAATTAACCCCCATTTTAGAAGCCGTGTTTTCTCTCTGTGCAGTACTAATTAAGGAAAAGTCTTATTGATTTTGTGCTAACTCAATGGTGAATGTAGGTGGAAGTTGCTAGATTTTGCTATGCTAAAGAGGGACTCGGTGTCCTTTTTCGATATTAAGAAGACTGAGTCTGCTCTATCGAGATGGTCCAGGGCGAAATCTCGTGCAGCCAAGGTAAAACCTTTATGCGCGACGAAAAGTGAAAACTGTAGCCTCATCACGATTAGATGGAATTCTAGCTTATTGCTTTGATAATCCTCATACACAGGTAGGAAAAGGTCTATCAAAGGATGAAAAGGCTCGGAAACTAGCATTGCAGCATTGGCTCGAGGCAGTAAGTCTTGCAAGAATTACAAAATTCTATGCTATGTTGATTCTATGTATTGAGACGAGAAGATAAATCCTATTTTGTTGCTAGATTGACCCTCGCCATCGCTATGGTCACAATCTCCATTTCTACTATGACTGTTGGCTGCGCTGCAAGAGCAAGCAGCCCTTTTTCTACTGGTGAGTGATGATCATGTCCTGTATCATACATTTGAAGTTTCTAGTTCAATGCCTTTTTGAGAAAAGGATGTCTTCTAGTCTTACACTAGTTAGGATATAAACTATAAAAAGAAACCAAATAAAAAAGGTTACTCTGTATGAGGTCATTGACGAGTATCGTAGCCTGTACCAAATATCCATATCCAAAAAAAAAAGGTGGAAAAAAGAAGAAGTTATTGGATAGACTTATTCTTAAACACAAAAACCAGAAATCAGGACTGATAAGTTAAAAAAGAGCACTAGTTGCGGATAGACCCCTGTACTATTTGTCGAAGTGCAGATAGATCCCTCAGTGAATATTTTTTCCTTTTAAATGAGTAAAAACAAAAGTTAACTTAGAAGGCCTATCCACACCAATAGAACTACATGAGATCTATCCGCAGTTAACTATCAAAAACATCTTTTACGCTCAAGACCGTCATCATCGCTAGCATTCTTTTTCTAGATTAACTGGTTGGGGGTCTATCCGCAATTAACTCTAAAACAACATCATTTATCCTCATGGTGGTCATAATTGCTTGCACTCTTGTTCTAGATTAATTTGGTCTCAACTACTCGGGTTGATTTTTCTTCCAGGCTAGATGTTGGCGAAGGAAAAGAGGTCAACATTGATGAAATGTGCCCTCGATCAAAGCTTCAACAGCAGTGTATCAAGTATCTAGGACCCGTAAGCTTCTGAATCCCTTAAGCTCATCTTTGTTTACATATGATTACATTAATAACGTGTAATTTGATAATTTTCTTCATGTAGAAAGAAAGAGAGGTCTATGAAGTCATAATCGAAAATGGAAAATTAATCTACAAGAAGAGCGGGGAAATCCTTGACACTACTGAAAATTCTTCAGATGCAAAATGGATCTTTGTTCTCAGCACATCGAAGAACTTATATGTTGGTCAGGTGAATTTCTATATCCGTAAGTGTATCGTTACCCTTGAGGGTCAATGAGCTTTTACAAATAATTCATTTTCGGCTGATTGCAGAAGAAGAAAGGCATATTTCAGCACTCCAGTTTTCTTGCTGGAGGAGCTACATCAGCTGCTGGAAGATTAGAAGTACAAAATGGAATCCTTAAGGTAAAATTTATGTAGAACTTTTTAAATTTCAATTTTGGAGATATATGTCACATTCACAAATTTGTTTCTTGGCAATTCACATTTGTTTTTTTGGCAGGCTATATGGCCTCACAGTGGACATTACCGTCCAACTGAAGAGAATTTCCAAGAATTCATCGCCTATCTGGAATCAAAAAATGTGGATCTCGCTGATGTTAAGGTTAGTTGTAATATTTCAAAATCTCTTAACGGTAAATTAATTGAGCAAATAATTCATATGATCTATCTCTCCTTCAAATGACACAGAAAGCACCGCTAGAAGGGGAAGAAGAAACCTATACGTCACTTAGACCGAGCCGCTCTGAATTCGACTTGAGAAGAAAAGCTAAGGAAACCCAAGAACATGCATCTAATACTACTAGCAACCTGAAAATTAAAAATCTAAAACGGTCAAAATCATTTGATACATCGACAGATTCTGCAAGAGCCAAAGAAGAAAGGGAGAGGAACAACAGACTTATGAATGAAGAAGATTCAGAGGAGAGCGAAGAAGAGGAGGAAGAAGTTAATACAAAATCAAAGAACAGTCATTCTGATGAGACAATGAAGATCTCGAGGTTCAGGAAACAAAATCTTTTCATCGAGGAGAACGAGGGAGAGGACTCGACTATGCCAAGTGAACTCATTCTTCGAAGAATGAACTTTAGGACTGGAACACTGTCTCTTCAGTTAGGAAAGCAACTTCCTTGTAAATGGACTACTGGAGTGGGGCCTAGGATTCGATGTATAAGAGATTTCCCTTCAGAGCTTCGGTTTCGAGCTTTAGAGCAAGTGAATTTGTCTCCTAACAGTTATGGAGCTAATTGTAGAGGTTGGCATTGTCCTTGTGATTTGCCTAGTCCAATTCCAAGGGCAAGTGCATTTAGTAGTTCACTTAAACAGGCACAGAAGAGTTAATGTTTTACATAGATCCCTCAGAAAATAGATGAGAGGATGTGATTCTATTCATTTTGTAGATGTTTTAGACAAACACACACACACACACGGAGAGAAAGAGAGAGAGAGAGAGAGAGAGAGAGAGAGAGAGAGACCTGATGCAAATTGTAACAGATTTTCGCTGGGTCAATAGAAATCAATATATATCATTCTTTTAGAACTATGAGTTGTATGTCTCCTACATTTGAGAAGATGCATTTTGACAACGTGTACGAGTTGAATGTGTTTTATGTATTTGAAGAGGAGAAATCATATTTGCACAGATATTAGTGATGCCTCACTGACTAACCGGGTCTGGGCATTTGGGCAAAGCTCTTATAAGATTTGTTGTGTGGAAAACCTGGTCCGTGCAGTGTCCATGCAAATCTGCACACCATAGACAAAATGAAGGTCGTGTCTGTGATCGTTTGCCAGCATCAACCCTCCCATGCTTAAGTCAGTATCGTACTTGGATTACTGTCAATGTTTAGAGTAACGGTTCAGAGTTTGATTTTGTGAGTTGCTCTCTCTCTCTCTCTCTCTCAGCTCATACTTGGGGACGGATTCATATCAATACATGGTGATTTTCATTTTCATCATAGAAATTAACAAAATACTGCTAAGTCCTAACAATATTCTTTCCTTAGTGTTCTCTATGTTGCGCGCCGTGTGGTAGCGTGCTTAACAACCAAACGAGTAGGTGAGGGATGAGAGAAGAGAACCAAAATCAAACACGAGTGCAATTCACAATATAACGACCAAAATCACACACAAACACATGAATTTATGTGGTTCCGCAATTGCCTACGTCCACGGGGAGAGGATGAGAAGATTTTACTATATGGAGGAGAAATACAACGGGTTACAACTCACAAAATCACTCAAATATAACCCTAACCAAATCTTTCAACCCTCTCACAATATCTCCCTCTCAAAGTGCTCAAAACAATGCTAATACTCTTCTTTAGAAACCCTAGAAACGTGGTTCTATTTATAACAAAACACAATCCCAAACAGATTGGGATTCTAAAAACGAGTCTGCCATACCCTAGTGTGATACACACCACCCCCCTAAAAAACAGGATAGATTCTGTCACACCAGGGTGTGGCAGACACCACCAGTGTATAGTAGAGTCTTTCTTGCCACACCAGGGTGTAGCAGACACCACCAGGGTGTGGTGGAGTCTGTCTTGCTTATTCTTCATGTTTTTCTCAATTCCTTCGCCGTTTTCATAATTCTCCACCTCGGCGAAGTTTTTCCAAAATTAAGCCAACACCAAACAAAGAGCACCAATGCGTCATCTCTACAAACTCGGCTGCACCAATGTAGTTGCCTACGTACCCCCTCTCCCAAGGGATCAAGCCGTCTATAGTTCATCCAAATGACCGTCAACGGTTTCAACAATCACGAATGTGCAACAAGTTTCGACAATGATCAAATTTATTGCTCGGAACCACTTTAGTGAGCATATCCGTCGGATTATCCTTCGTGTGGATCTTCACAATCTCCACATCGTCATCTTCAAGATCATCTCTAACGAAGTGATAACGAAAGTCAATGTGCTTCGTCCTCGCATGAAAAACCTGATTCTTCGCCAAGTAGATAGCACTCATGCTATCACAATAAAGAGTGATGGACCGCTGCAATATACCAAGTTTCTCCAAAAGTCCTCGAAGCCAAATAGCCTCCTTAATAGCCTCTGTAATCGTCATATACTCTGCCTCCGTCATCGATAAAGCCACCGTAGACTGTAAGGTGCATCTCCAACACATCGGCGCACGAGTCAAAGTGAACACATACCCCGTCGTAGACCAGCGCTTATCCAAATCATCAGCATAATCCGAATCAACATAGCCAATGCACAACTGCTCATCTCTAGTGTCCCGCTCAAAAACTAAACTAACATTGATAGTACCTTGAATGTACCTCAAAATCCATCTCACGGCGTCCCAATGACCCACTCTTGGATCGTGCATGTATCTCGAAACTATGCTCATCGCCTGTGATAAATCTGGCCTCGTACATACCATCGCGTACATCAAGCTCCTAACCGCGCTCGCATATGGAGTCATTGACATTAACTCTCTATCTTCAACTGTCTTCGGTAAAAGATTAGCTAAAAGCTTCAAATGGGCTCCCAAAGGTACACTAACTGGCTTCGTATCCATGCTAACATAAAACCGCTGTAAAACATTCTTCAAATAAGCCACCTGTGTCAAACAAATTTTGCCCCTAACTTTGTCTCTGTCGATCTCCATCCCTAAAATACGCTTAGTCTCAACCAAATCCTTCATCTCAAACTCATTTGAAAGCTGAATCTTTAACTCATCTATAGCGGATCTGGAAATATAAACAACCAACATGTCACCAACATAAAGAAACAAATAAATATACGCACTTTCCTTCAACTTGCGAAACTACACGCAAGGATCAAACTAGGTCTGAGTATACGAATAACCGATCATAAATCCATCGAATCGCCTATACCGCTGTCGAGGAGACTGCTTCAAACCGTATAGCAATTTTTTCAACCTACAAACAAACTTATCCTTCTCTGCAGCTCGGAATCCCAATGGCTGAGTCATATATATTTCTTCATCAAGATCACCATGAAAAAATATCGTCTTTACATCCAACTGATCTCCAAACCATATTGTGCCACCAAAGCTAGCAAAATCCGAATCAAAGAGTGCTTCACCACCGGAGAGAAAACCTCATTATAATCTATACCTTCCTTTTGTGCATAGCCCTTCGCAACCAACCTAGCCTTGAATCTCACTGGAGTGCCTTCAATGCCCTCCTTCTTCGTGTATACCCACTTGTAACCAATCGCCTTGTACCCTTTTGGAAGTTTAACAAGCTTCCATGTATTGTTCTTATGAAGAGACTCCATCTCCGCCTATATAACTACCTGCCACGAATCAGCCTCCGAACTCTGCTCGGCATCTCTGAATATAGTAGACACCAACTCATCGATACTCTCCACCGGAAGTGTATATGCAACTACTGTGTCGGTATACCGTGTTGACATTCGTATGTCTCTCCTCTGTCTTCGAATCGTAATTGAATCCTGAAACTAAGCCGTCGGTGTCTAATCCTTCACAATTGTACCCGTATCCTCCTCGTCATCGCCGTGCTGGCCTGGCATCACCGCAGTCGGTACTCTAATGGATACTGTAACATCTGGATAATGTGAAACTGTATTAGTCTTCACCACCTGCGATATCTCCTCTATCGGGGTGCTCTCCACCTGATGAGAGCTGAGAAGCTTCAAGATAGAAGCCTCATTGAATGTGACGTCCCTACTCAGCACAATCTTCCTATCAACTAGATCCCATAGGTTGTATCCCTTGACAGCATGCTTGAATCTTATAAATATGATATTCCTAGCTCGGGGTACCAACTTATCATTCTTAACATGATAGTTTGCAGAGTACTCAAATATCTTGAGCTAGTCATAGTCGTGTGTTGGTTCTCCCGACCACATCTCCATAGGGGTCTTCCTCTCAATCGTAGATGAAAGCAACTTGTTAATGAGGTGGCTCACATATGAAAGTGCCTCAGCCCAAAAGATCTTCTCCAAACCACTATGCGCCAACAAACATCGGATCTTCTCCAGCAAAGACCAATTTACCTCTCTGCCACCCCTATTCTGCTGCGGTGTATGACTAACTGTGAAGTGTCTCTCTATGTCCTCATCTCAACATAACTGCTAAAAGGGGTATGATGTGTACTCACCACTGTTGTCGGATCGCAATATCATGATCTTTATCCCAGTCTGTAGTTTCACCTTCTTCTTCCACTCCACAAATATATCTAGAACTTCACTCTTCTTTACCATGGTGTACACCCAACAACGCCTAGAATAGTCATCAACGAACGTGACGAACCAATATCGACCACCAAGTGATGTCATCTTGGTGGGACCCCAAACATCTGTGTGCACATAATCCACAATGCCCCTCGTCCTATGAATGGCTATCCCAAACTTCACATTTATGTTCTTGCTAAGAACACAATACTCACAAAACTCAATCTTCCCATTCTTGGCTCCCTTCAATAGCCCCTGCTTGCACAAAGCCTACAGTGACTTTTCTCCAGTGTGTCCTAACCTGTAGTGCCAAAGTCTACTCATGTCCGCCTCTGAAATAACTGAAGCTATCTGGCCAACCTCGATACTCCCCTTCAGATAATATAAATTCTAACTGCGGACTTCATTCATCATCACCAATGATCACTTAGTAACCTTTGCTACAACGTCTTCAAAGGTTATCTTGAATCCCTTCGCCTCCAAAGCTCCAACTGAGATACGATTCTTCTTCAGCTGAGGAACGAATCTCACCTCCTTTAATTCACGGACTACTCCATCGTGCATCCGAATCCTACGGTACCTATCCTACAAATACCACATGATTAATCATTTTTCATGACAACAATACCCTCATCGAGTCTCTCAAATGATGTAAACCAATCTCGCCTGGAAGTCACATGATAAGTAGCGTCAGAATCAAACATTCAATCTGATGCATCCACATGGTCCACCTCCGGAGTAATCAAAAGAGAAAAACTCGAATCATCGGAATCATCGCCTTTCGTAACATTCACCTCATTGGCCTTCGGGCCCTTTTTCTTGCCATTCTCTTTCTCCTTAATCTTTGGACAGTCTTTCTTCCAATGTCCCTGCTCCTTGCAGAATGCACATTGGTTCTTTACTAACTGGTGACGACCTCTAGACTTTGACCTTCTCCTATTATCACCTCTCGGATATGGGCTTCTACCTCTCGTCGACAAGGCCTCTCCTGAAGTACTAGCGCGGGAAGTTTCCTTGTCCTTCCTCAAATCATAGTTCGTCAAAGCGTTAGTTACTTCACTATAGCTTATAGAAGATCTCTCATTCAACAAAGTAAGTATAAATGTATCATACTCCTCATCCGGTAAGGAGCCTAACAAAATAATCGCCTTGTACTCATCCGATATCTTTTCATCAACATTCGCCAAGTCCGACGACAACTTAGTATAGTTGTTCACATGAACCGTTAGCGAGGTGCCTCGGGACATCTGAAATCTGAACAATCTTCGTAGCAAGTACAAGCGATTCTCAACACTCTTCGTAAGGTACTTATTGTTGAGAATTTCCCACATCTTCATTGCAGACGTCACCT